TTTGTCCTTGTTAAAACAGTTTCTCCTGTCCCAGCTAATCATACAGAAGCAGTCATTATTTTTGCGGTTTGGTTTGGTAACGTTAGTGTTGCAGAAATAACAGATGAAACCTACTTTCTCTCTCTAACAGGATTTGAATGCTAACTTAATTCATGTAGTAAATTACAGTCACCCTGCAGCATCGTTATTAGATCAGAACGGCTTTTATTATATTATATATTGCATTTTACACTTTTTTTATTAGTTGTTTGTTAAATTTTATTTTAGATTTTGATATTTTATTTTAATTTTTTCTTTGTAGGGTTAGGGTTGTAATAGGTCTGTCATTTTAATTATCTTCATATAACAGCAATGTAAACTTATTTTTGGTTGCATACACGTTGTGAAATGTGTATTTTTAGAGTATTTTATTAAATTATATTTTATTTGAAATGTATTTTTCATTTTTATTTTGATATTTTAATTGTTTTTTAAATTTCTTTATGTAGTATTATATTTTTCTGTAGTCATTATAATTATCTTAACATAAAAACAAATGAACTTGTATGTTGTACATTGTGAAAAGTGTGTGTGTGAGTGAGTTAGTGTGTATTTGAGTGTGTGTGAGAGTTAGTGTGTGACAGATACAGTGCAGAAAACAAGTTTCATGTCATGCGTCTGACTGTTGATTTTGGCTCATGTGGAGTTTTGTTCCGCCTCCTGCATTTTTCCCAGTGTGTCCCGTCAGTGTCACACCCCTGGAGCATCCTGTTAGCTTTTGTTGTGTGTGTGTTTGTCATTGATTCTCCTGTCCCAGCTAATCATACAGAAGCAGTCATTATTTTTGCTGTTTGGTTTGGTAACGTTAGTGTTGCAGAAATAACAGATGAAACCTACTTTCTCTCTCTAACAGGATTTGAATGCTAACTTAATTCATGTAGTAAATTACAGTCACCCTGCAGCATCGTTATTAGATCAGAACGGCTGTTTGGCCTCAGTGTTGAGGGCCGTTGCATGTGTTCAGCGTGTTGAAGTGTGTCTCTGAGCTCATGGTGATTTTGATGTGGACGCTGGTTATTAAAGTGAAATGGCATTATAGGGGTGCTTTTAAAAGTGTTTCACCTGCGCTGCACATGGCTGCCCATTGCTCCGGGTGCGTGTTCACTTGGATGGGTGAAATGTACTTGACCACATCACGTAACTTTCACTTAGCTTTTGTGTTCATTGCATGCTAAAATCCCAGTTTATTATGTAATTATTTAGGATGTTACTATGTAATCACTTTAAGTAGCCTGCACTTTCAAAAGTAGAGTCTCAAGACTATTGGACGCAATACATTTAGTGTTTCACAACCCTTTGCCCTCTATGGAGCACGGTTTGCTCTCGTTGCCTTTTTTTTTATTATTTTTCTTTTTTAATTTTATTATTTATTTATTTGCTTGTTTTTTGTATTAAACAGGGTCATTCTTTAAAGACAGGATCTGCAGGTTAAACTGGGCTGCTTTCATACTGTCTGCTTCCTCTTCACTGCTTTTATTTTTATGTTCTTTCTTTGTATTTTACACGCTCTCTTTCTTTTTTTAGCTTTATTTTATGTGTATGTATTTTTTTTCATTTTCTGTTTTGTATTTTTATTTATTTTTTATATATATATTTTGTATTTCATTTTATTTTACTTTTATGTTTTTATGTATTTTTGGTTTTTCTTTTTATTTATGTATTATATTTTTACTTTTTTTTTTTTTTGTTGTTGTTGTAATATTTCATTTTCTTTTACTTTAGATTTTTTTTAATTTTTTATTTCATATAATATTCTTTGTGTGAACCAGGATCTTTCTTCAAAATATAGCGGCCCAGGTCAACCTGCAGATTCTTCTACACGGTCTGCTTCCTCTTCACTGCTTTTTTTTAACATTTTGTATATTTTTTTTAATTTTATGTATTCTTTTGTTAATTTCTTTTATTTTTTTTATCTTCCATTCCAGCATATTTCAGTGCTAATTATTTTCTGTGCTGCCAGCGTTGTGCCACAGATGCTTAGTTTGAGTTTGCATTTATATGAACAGGATGATTCTTTACAGATAGGATCTGTAGGTCGACCGGAGCCGTTTCCACACCGTCTGCTTCCTCTCCGCTGCTTCTATTGTTCACGTTTGTGCCCGAGTGTTGATTATTGCTCTTTGTCTGAGCACCTTCAACTTCCTCCTGCAAGTGTTTCTTTATGTTGCCAGCGCTCCACCTTTACCCCTATTATGATCAGCCCCATCGGGCACAAAATAACTGGCCTTGCAGAACCGCTCGGCCTTCCTAATATGGAAGCGACTGAGGACGCGGAACGGATTCGCCGAGTCACAGCAGTTTTTGTAGGAAGTGTGGCCTGTTTGTCACCCGCTCGAGGACGGAGGTTATTTACGAGGAATGTGGAGGTCGTGACGGATGTTATGTGATTAATGAGGTCAAATGAAGCCGTCTAGACGGCGTGACGAGAATCAGCTGATAAATGAGAACGTGAAGCATGTTTGTGGGTTCGTGAAAAGCAAAACATCTCCAAATGCACAAACCCTGATGCACTTTGACTGGAGGTTTGTTGACAGTCATATTTCAGATTGTGTTCACGTCACAGTGGTGGGATAATGCCTGATTTAATTCATCACACGCCTGCGTTTGTCTATTTAGCTTTTTAATGTACATTTATTTAGCTTTTTTTTTTTTAAATTAAATATTTGTTAAAGCAGCTTATTTTTTTGTCAGTCTGATCAAATTCTCTTCTGCTCATTAAGGCTGCATTTATTTGATAAATGCAGAAAAAAATTAAATGTGAAATTATTACAATTTAAAATAACTGTTTTCTATGTGAATATTTTGTAAAATGTAATTTATTTCTGTGATGCGCAGCTGTATTTTCAGCATCATTACTCAAGTCTTCAGTGTCACATGATCTTCAGAAATCATTCTTATATGCTGATTTGCTGCTCAAGAAACATTTCAAATTTTTAATAATGGTGAAAACCGTTGTGCTGCACAATATTTGTGCAAACAGTGATGTATTTTTTTATTTTTCAGGATTCACCGATGAATAGAAAGTTCAAAAGTACAGCATTTATTTGAAACCGAAATCTTTTGTAACATTACGAATGTCTTTACTGTCACTTTTGATCAATTGCGTCCTTAATGAATAAAAGTATTTGTTTCTTTATTTATTTTTTACATGTGCATTTTCATGTTAATTTAGCAGATTCTTTTATCCAATAATTCTGATTTAATCCAATCCAATTTACAGTTTAAATCCAACTAAAAATTCTGTTTTTGAGCTTAGTGCACCTAATTGCACATGCATGTTTGTTTACATTTCTTTTATTTAGCTGATACTATTATCAGTTTCTCAATTGTAAGTTGCCTTGGATAAAAGAGTCTTTTCTAGCATGTTCTAAGTCAGAAGATTGTCTCTTTTAATGGAAATGTGCCTTGTAGAGTGACTTCTCCCATTCATTTTTCCTCAACTCTGATATAAACTAGATCCCAAACGTGGATCTGATCCTTCACCGTCATAAGAGAGCTAAACATGCGTTTTAGTCTCCTCAGAGCCTCCAAACCTCCCGAAGATTCATCTGGAAAATTCATCTGGAAAACTCATATGTCTCCTCCGATACTACAGCATGTTTTTTGTCTCATCAGAGGCTGAACTCGTTGTTTTATGGTGTGAAGACCGTTTGTGTGGTTATTCCTGCACGGCCTTCAGCTCTTGGCAGCGGTGAACAGGGCATGCTGGGATTGAATGCCATAGTTTGCTCTCTGCTTTATTAATGGCCCATGTAATGTAGTGTACAGTGGAAGGTGCAGTTTGTTTGAGTGGCAGCCAGAATAGAGTCGTTGTTCAAACCACACACACACACTCTCTCACACACACACTCTCTCACACACACACTCTCTCACACACACACTCTCTCACACACACACTCTCTCTCACACACACTCTCTCTCACACACACACTCTCTCACACACACACTCTCTCACACACACACTCTCTCACACACACACTCTCTCACACACACACTCTCTCACACACACACTCTCTCACACACACACTCTCTCACACACACACTCTCTCACACACACACTCTCTCACACACACACTCTCTCACACACACACTCTCTCACACACACACTCTCTCACACACAC